AAAAAATATGCAACCCTTAAGACGTGGTATTCATCCTAAGTGAACTTGCACATATTAATCACAAGAAGCCTTCGTCAATTTCAGGGACCGACCTCCGACCAAAACTGCATCAAATTACTTTTCTAAACATCCTAATGGTGATCAAGCATCAAGACACTTAGATGGTTTAACCCAGTGATGAATAATTCGAAAACCTGCATGCATATAATCATAAGCAAATTGGACAGAAACTACATATTCTTGCTAAGGCTCGTGGCCTCACCCCTAGCAAAAAAAGTTAGTTACGCATGTTCACAATAAAAATAATCAAGTTCTTCATTAAAATAATAAAGATCGAAAACACCTTGAAGTAGAAGTTCTTTCAAAATCCTAGCAAAAGTCGCGTTCAAAAGCCAAAAGAGAAGTCCAAAATTTGCTGTGAAAAATAACTTAAATACCTCCTAAAACCTAGCTACCCAATCCCCAGTGGCCTCACCCTAGCAAAAGAGAGTTAGTTACGCATGTTCACAATCTGCCCAGCCACATTTTGGTCTCAAATCTCCTCCAAATACGGCCCAAGATAGCTCGTTTTAAAGATAAAAATATTCTAAACACTTCTCCAGAAGGCTACGAACCCATCTGAGGTCATCTTGGGCTCCAAAAACGCAATAAAAGCCCAAAACGTCATTATTCCAGCGCAGCGCACTGCTCCTTCATTTATTCGCCAGGAAATCATCGCTTGGTGGAAAAATCTGATATTTTGATACGATCAAGTTAAGTGGCTCATGAACGTCCTCCAACTGAAATTACTCCAAAATTCGTCCATTTGATTATGTTTTGCTCCAGAGAGAATCGAAAGTCCTATATTGGAAATATAATTCAAAGTATCAAAATTCTTCCAAAGTATTAACCAAAATATACTAAGAATGGGGTTAAATATATAATATAAAATCGACTCATCAGTAATCTTCTGCTTTCTTTTTCTCTAATGCAAATCGCAAAGCAGCAGTGTGGAAGAAACAGAGCACTTTGTTACAAGTTTATCCTTGAGGGGTCAAGCGATTTTCTGTGGGAGTCAGAGTGGTCAAAAGTGTCAATTTGTGCTTACCTTTCCTCCAGAAAGATTACAGCTGATAATAACTTAGTGCACTTTATTTTGTAGAGACTTCCCTCCCTCTTTTTCCAATTGCTTTTGTTTTCGTAATGATCATACTTGTCCTCCACCTCCACCTCCACCATCCATGAAACTCAATATAACACGGTTTTCTCAGAACCCTTCTTCTGTTCTTCCCCACTTGACATGAGAGAAGTGAAGAACTGAGGGAGCTTCCTTCATGCTTCAAACCATACCCTCCGGTAAGTAAAACCAGTCAATTACAATTTTCTGTCAACTTTAATGCCATTTTCTTTTTGGGTTTCTTGTGCGTTTGTTTTGAAACTCATGCATTCCTACATCTGTGTGCCAGTTGAGTCTCACTTTCCTGATGCTGAATGTTCTAACCTTTCTTTTGCACTTTCTGGAAATGTGTTCATCGGTTCATGTCTTAATTCAAAGAAAGCAAACTAGACAAAAGGAGACAAGTGCACACAAAAACCAAAACCATTTTCACTCCAATTATATTACGTTTGGTTACATGAGAAATCAAGAGGGAAACCAAAGCAAAGAAGAAAAAAATGAACTTAATTCTATGCTATACCTTTGCACACCAAAAAACGATAAACAGGAATCCACTTGAACTGGTTAATCTCTCTCTCTCTCTCTCTCTCTCTCTCTCTGTGTTTACTTTTCAATATATACTCTAGCTGAAGATATAGGCGAGGTGCCAATGTATACTTACAGTCTTACACTCTGAATGACTAGGGATATAGCAGGTTCTGTACAACTGGTAAATCAAAGGCCAAAAAATGGAACACACCAAGACAAACTAAAGAATGACACACCAAGCACGCAGAATGTGAGTACCGGATAGGAACTCCGAGGGTGGTAACTCTGCTGAGGGACAAAAGAATGCAGAAAACTTTGTTAGATACTTTTGGAAATGCTAGAATGCACCGTAACATTCTAGATCTGGGTTTTGGTAAGCAGATCTTAACCTGCCTTTTGGTAAAATTTCAGGCTGGAATGGCTGCAATCCAAAGAGGAAAGGAATTCAAAAAAACATGAACTCAATAGGCAAGGCAACTAAGCCATGTAAAATTTCTATGTATAAGCTGGATCAAAAAGGCAGGTTGATTATAGACTTTGAAGGAGGGCTCGTTTGCAGGGTGGTGGTCGTGAAGGATTGTTGCTTGGGTAAGGAGAAGGAGACTCCACTCCAAGCGTTTTGAGCAAGAAGCTCCTTTCCTGAAAAATCCAACAACATAACTGGTTAGGCTTGCTCTCCTGCTATATGCACTTAAGCTTTTTATACTAGCCATTACATAACTTACTGAAATAGAATATGTGACTGAAAAAAGTAATAACTATTAGGCAAAAAACACGGTAGTATTCTACTCTCTGGCTCCGCAACTATTATTGGCCTGGCCTGTTTTTAATGAGTTCAGTCCTAATGGCTGCTTATCATCAGTAGACTTAAGAGAGTCCTACATACAAATGTTGCAGGGTCAATCTTTTCCTGACAACCAGAGCCATCATTACTAATACCACTAGTGATTTCAGAAGACTAGAAGTCCTACAAATGTTTCGATGACGTAATCTGAGAAGCCTACTAGTGACTTGATAACGACTGAAGGTGCTGCTAATACAATGAAGGATGTTTCAAATAACTTATTATTTGAAAGATTTGAGCTCCTGAGGGAACTTACACTTTCAAACTCTGTATTTGACGATACAGAAATGACTGCATCAGTTTTTGTTCCTTCATTACAAGATGGAAATATTTCTGCAGAAATAAGATTAGATATGTTATTATGAAATCTAATTAAGCTGGAAACTATGATATATAATTCACAAGTAAAGTTATTATCAGCCTATATATCTTATATGATAATCCATTACCTTGCTTTCTGGTTCCTCTGGAAACAATCCCTTTCTCACATTCTCGAACATCATTTTCCCCTCCAATAGGAATGGATTGTGAACCAGGTTGAATCTCCTCAATCAGTGTACCTATTTCAGCTTCGTTTTGTTCCACATAACATTCTGTTTGGGACAGGAGAGTTGACCCTGTACTGTATTCAGAGCTTCCTGGGGACTCATCGTATAGATCTGGTTGCCTACAATAATATGTCATCAATTAGATGATGCATGGTGACTTAAGCATGCTCAAATCAGAATAGTCCAGGTCACTTTTCTTACTGCCAAGATGGTCGACTTCCTTCATTAGTACTCCTTAAGTCCTCTAACAGATATTTAAGATCTTCGAGTTGAAAATCAAAATCAGTAATTCCATAACTGAGGATGTCGCTTTCTTTGCTTTGATTCAAGAAATCCTGGAGCACCTGGATATCACATTGATATATGTTAGAGGATATGCAGACTCAATTTTGCACCATACTTAAAATTTTGATTGGAGGGAATTCAAGTACTAAGGGAACCTCAGATGTCATGCTATGGATAGTTATGTCAAGAAAGCTAGATATCTAACATTGATGAATAAACATTCAACCAAGTCTCATAACTACATTATTCTCTGTTGGAATGGTCTGGACTATCTTACGGAAAGTATGGCATCTGTTGATTGATGTTGGGAATTGTACTCATTTGGTTGCTATACATGTGAGTCATATTTATATTTTGATATCAATTACATGTTGATAGCTGAGGCCACAACCAATGAAAAATTAAATCTCACCTTCCAAGCATTTTCAAGACTCTGGTCTGTGTTCTCTGTGTTAACTTTTAGTGCCAATGAGCTGAGCAACTCTGCTTGTTGCATCAGAGCAGTTATCTTCGGATCGTCCTTCTTGAGAAATGATCCTTGAAACTTGCTATTTTGTGCTGCAGGTAAATGACATTAAGAATGGAATTAGATTCTCCTGAAGTTTTATAATTGAAAACATATAAATCACCGCATCTTGTATTTTCAACTGATAAATAGGCCAACATTTTGTTGGCTAAATAGAACAAAAATACGCTTATGTTTTCATTATATAAAAATATTAAATAAATAAAAAAGCTTATTTTCTCACACATTTCAAGCAATGTGCTTCTCAGGCATTGTCATAGCAATCTGATGAGTTTTCAAACAAATTTTTATTTCAGGTGATTTACCATTCCCAGAGACTTCCTTTGTGCTACTGACATTATGCTGGTCTGGCAGGTTGTCTACATTGTGGAAATTCTGAATCAACACAGTAAATGGAGCTCTTAGCTGCTGATTCATCTTTCCACACTGCTCAAATAGTCTATCCCCGGAGTTACAATTTTCGGAGAGATTAGGGATGTGGGTTCTCCTGTGTCGCACAAAGAATGAGTTCTACTACATTGAGTAGTAATCTAATCAACATTTTTGTACATAAAGATGTAATTTCTACTCTACCTCATCTTCTTAGAAGGTGCTGTAGTTTCTGTTGTTCCATCTGTATTGAAACCATTTCGGATTATGACCCTTTTGTCATTTGAATTGATGTATGAAGTAGCGTTCTCTTTAGCTAAGGCCTCATATTTGGCTCTCTTCTTGCACAAGGTCGAAAACCGATTTTTCACAGCATTGTCAGTTCTGCGTAAGTAGCACAGATTAAGCGAGTCATTACAAGACCTGCCTTATTGCACAAAGGGGGAAAAGAGAGATACCATACCTCCCCGAAACCACCTTAGCTATTTCTGTCCATCTGTTACCAAATATCTTTTGAGCCTGCAGATCAGATGACCTTCAGTTATAGGTTGCTGTTACCACATCCAATGATCAGGGCAATAATGTAAAATGCTGAATGAACTGTGGTGGGTTTTTCTGTTGAACTTTAGGAAGACAGACTATGCAATCAATAGGTCTGGCCTACTTGGTCTTATTATAACCGAGATTCAAGAAAGTAATTCAAGTCTTTAAAAGAAAGAGCTTCTCCTAGATCGAGTTTTTGGAAAAAAGTTTTTTCATTAAAACTAACCTTGTATATATTTCACCATTTTAGGATGCATAAACTGGAGTTTCAGAAGCTTACCTCGCATAAGAGCATGTCTTCCTCTGGTGACCATCCTCCCTTCTTGAAGTCAGAATTCAAGTATGTGTACCATCTGCAACATTATTTTCAAATTCATATAAAAACAGATTAGTAGTCAAAACAACTATAGCCGAATAATTGGGTGGAAGAAAACAGAGGATGGCTCAGGAAAAGTTGAATTCAACATTAATTATTGGGTTTGAAAAATACCGTCTCCTGCACTGTCTCGTTGTTTTATCCTTGAATTTTGACGCAATGATAGCCCAACTGCACACAAAATGATCACAAAACTAAGCCCTCAGTTCATTTTCTACGAAAAAAAAGAAAAAAAAAAGGATGCAGCACCAGCAAACAGAAGGTAATTAAATTGAATTAATGTCAAAGTAAAACCAACCCATGTCAAAAAACTAAGAAACATACTTGTCTGTTCCATGAACGCTAATTTGGTTGCGCAGAATGTCATCCTCCTGTAACTCACGAAATGAACCAACCCATGTCAGAAAACCAAGAAATATGACTTGGGGTATTGGTATTAATCAAAACTAAAACTCTTATCTATTTATCCAAAATGAAAAAGAAAAAAAAAAGGTGAGCAAGAAATAAAAAGGACCTCTTGAGACCAGGTAACTATGTGGCGCTCCTTCTTCTTGGAATTAGAATATTCATTTCCAAGCTTCTTCCTTGGCTCCTCCTGCGGCATTGGGTATTTAATTTCACCTCGCTCTGTCTCTCTCTCTCTCTCTCACCAGTCTCACTCTCTCAGTCTCTCTCTTGGCCTTGGACGCTCCTTGATCCCTTTATCAAAACCAAGTTGCATAATACAACTAAAGCCGAAGTCTTTTTTGAGCTATATAATAAAGAAAACGGCCAGACCCCAAAAGAAGCAGAGAAACCCTTCCCTCTCTTTTTCCTAATAATCTTCACAGATACTGTTGGGTTCAAACGGAAGCATAAGCACAGTCCAAACCATGACCCGATTGATTTGCCTCGGATTCTAACTTTTCAAACGCACCTTGGGAGTTACTCTTTCTCAAAGTTTCACTATCCCCTGAATTGAAACTTATAAGAATTGAAGAAAGAGAAAAGACATCAGCCCAATATACCAAATATATGCTCAAACAGTGTATATACTTGAGAAAAGAGATTAGATTGGATCTGGGTATTTGTATTTTTGTATCAACTTCCACTAACTTACAGAGATTTAGGCTGAAAACTACGATCGGGGTTGTGAGAGTTTGGGGTGGGACTGGAGAGAACAGAACAGAACAGAGGAGGTGTAGAAGAGTAATAAGCTGAAACCTTTTTTGAAACTTTCTCTGTCTTCTTTACAACCAATGACTTGTGAGGACTTCTGCAAAGTCTGGAATATATATTTTTATAATTTTTAAAAAAATGGATATATAAATAAAACTAACGGATTGTTTTTGGTTGCTTTATGTTTAGTGCGCGGGTATGAGGGGAAGTTTGAAAAATAACGCTGAATTCCATGAGATAACATTAATGGATGATGGTGGAGTAGACTATGCCCACAGGGCCACACACACCCAGGCCAGACACTATTTATCAATATTTATAATGATGAATAATATATTTGTGTTTTTTTAATCCGATCAAAAAAAATGATATGATTGGCTGTGGCACATGCATGATGCACCATCATGTACATTTGTTGTATATGTTATTTGATATTATTATTTATCATATCGGCATTTGATTTTGGTGGGTTCAAAACTTTTGAATATGTTGCAATGGGTTTGTAGCAGTCGTCCGAGATATTGTGTTCGAATTCTCAAATATTTTACTTGAATTAGAGAAAAAATTTGAAATTGTTTTTTGTGGGTTTGAAAATTAGAAAACTTTAAAGGGGAAGTGACCATCTTCGTGACCTAACCTTCACATTCATTCACTCAAATGAGGCGGAGGAGAGCCTAATATATTTTCCATTTCCATTCAATGCCTGTTTTGGTTAATTCATTTCTATCACATTAATCTTGTTTTTTGTTTGAATTTTTGTATTTTTCATTGTGCTTGCTTGGGCGGCTTTTCTCCATTCCCACGTGTGTACGAAATGAAATGAGGGGTTGCCATTGGAGCCAATCCCCCGCAGCCACGTGTACTGATGTGATGGGTCCGAGTTTCATACTCGAATTGGATGTTGGCCACACCCACACACGACAATCTTCACGGTGGTCTGGCACCTTCCTTATGCTGTTTCACTTTCACATTCGTAGGAAACACGAATTCGTTTTTCAAAATTGAAAGTTGAAATTTTTTTATTTTCTGTGTTTATTTTTTGTTATCAATGATACTGTCATGTGACTGCTTCACTATTGTTTAGATGTATCATGCACGCATGCTTCATGAATTCTAGATTTTTTATTTTTTTTCAATAACTAGATTAGGAATCATTTTGAATTATGTTGCTAGTTCTTTGTTAATTTGTCATATTTCAGACAGTGTTTAATAATAGGGCTAACTTTCAATCTGTTAATGGTGACATCTTATCTTACTACTAGATTTATTTGGATTGAATTGGAGTTGCGTCCAAGTCAGTCCTTACGAACTATTAATGATATATTGACACTTTAGTTAATTGTTTACACCAACCGAAACTCATATAAACTCGTGTAAATTCAAATGAATAGTTTGCATCGTATGAACTTAATAATTAATATGTCACTGTATACGTAGAAATTGAGAAACCTCCTCCACAAAAGAAGTCAAAAAAGAAAAAACAGGAAGGGGTCTTCATCAAACAAAGACAAAGGGCAGCAAGTCGATGTTGGACTCTTCCTACGTATTCCATGAATGAGAGGACAAACACTAACTGTCCACAGAAATTCAAAATTGTTGAGCATTAGTGTACACAATGAGAAAATTAGTAGAGGAAGACGTAACCCCACATTTTCTCTCGGCGAAGTGACAGCAACCTAACTACATTAAATGTAATTTTATTTAAACTTATTAATTTGGATTAGACTGATAATCCGTGTGGGCCTTAAACTAGCCGAGTTGTAATTATATTAAGTACGGAAAATACAAAACCAAACAAACTTTCACAGTTCTGACATGGAGTTGCATAGGGTTTACTTAAGTCCTAATTTATATTTCAATATTATTTTTATGGCTACGATATTACCATTTCTTTCAGCTCTCTTTGAAGAGGTCTTATATAAACTTTCACGTATAATATAACCCAAAAAAGGAAAAAAAAAAAAAAACTTTCACTTATATTTCCTCCACCAAACAGATATCTAGCTCGTTAACCTTGCCAGGTGGGTAAGTCCTCCATCCACCACCTGGCCCAATAGGAAGAGGAACGCGCAATCCTGTCGACCTTTTTAAAATCTTCAATTGGTGGAGCCCTCCAAACGGCAAGAAACCAGAAATGGGCATCTCATTGGTCTCTTTCTTGACAGCGAAGTCTCCCGCCAAAAAGAGGCTACTGATTCAAGCACGAAAGCCCATGTTACTCCCTCTGCATACCGTTCGTGAGAAAGGATGCAATCAGACTCAGAGATGAGAATGTGAGTGACAAGTATCATATATGCAATATAAAATATATGTTTTTGTGTGTGTATAGTATGAAGTATAAACATGTGTTTTTTGGAGAGGGAATCCAAACGAACAATGTTCATGAAAAAGAGAAATAGTAGCTACCATAGCTAGATACAGATTAAAAGGAGCGATTGTGTTCTTGGTTGTGGGGTGAGGGTCTAGGTTTATATTCGTCTCAAAATATGTAATGACTCAAGTGGTAATTATTTATGCACACGAAGTATTGTATTCGAATGTCCCTTTCAATATCGCGTGTATAAAAGAAAACTAATAATGAAAAAATTGTCCCATTACAAGAGCCATATATGAAAGGGCAAGAGCAGGAAAAAGAAAGTAAAGACCGACCTTGTGGAACCCTATGCAAAAGCTAATTTGCTGCAATAGCAATACACACATGCACCCTTTTGAAACTTTAAAAAGGTTTAAAGAAGAAAACAAATACGTAGATATATCCCATGACCATGCATGAGGCCTGATCATTCAAAAAGAAAACTTGCCTCCGTTTTCTTTCCCTCCTCCACTCATTATGCCTTAATTTTGTCAGTTTTCATCTTTGATTGAATGAGCTGGTGTGGCCATATATATCACCTTTTTTAATTTCTTTTAACGCTTAGCTAGCTGTGTAGTTTAGGCTACTAATGCAGGTAATTTTCATGTTAAGCAGATCGTCATCTTTGACAAATGTCACGCGGTTTTATCTTTGACGAATCACATTTGGTCCCATATGTTTCTATATTATCACTTTAAGCCCTTCAATCTCCAGAATTCGTGTTGTAGCTTCACATAGCAACTTGGTACTGCAGACATATTGATTTGAAAGAATCCATATAAATATATATACAGTTTTAAACCATTCGTGCATCATACTAGCGACCTACAACTGCATAATTGATTTGAAAGAATCATAATAAATTTGGACATGGGGTCTGTGTGTCCACATGTGTATATTAATTGGTTACCATTTCAAACGTTCCCTCGCAAACAATGTCAATGCTATATGGCCAACCTAGCGGACTTTGGAAATAATAATAAAAAAAAACAAACTCAATTTGACTAAGTCTAAGCATTTCCCCACATTCGTAATCAAACGAATAAATAGAAATAGTGAATTGAAAACAGATGAATTTCGAAGATCAAAATAAATGATTTCATGTTCTGTTATCAAATAGTTCGATATGTTACGTTACCAAATTACGTACATAAATTATATACCGAAATAAAATTAATCTGATTTATGATATATAATAAGACAACACTTCCATTTCACTTGGTAAACTTCAACTTGAGAGGTATTTAAGGATGAGGCCTATGAAATGATCATGAGGGTGACCACAACGTTAATTATCTAATGACTAAACTCTAAACCATGCAATTATACTCATTCCACTAAACCCTAAAGCACTAACCATAATAAAAATCCAAAACCAAAATATTGCAAGGCATAATGTTGTCTGCAGTGGAGCTTAATTAGGTGGGGGAGAGAGAGAGGCCCAAGTTCCCAAAGAGATTGATATTTGATTAGATGGGGTGGGGGCCACTGAAGGAGGGGCTAGCTGCCTTTGCCTAAACTTCAATTCTCATCATCAGTCGTTGGTCATCATCCACCATCCATCCCAACTTGTCAAGCCCAAGCGCCCACCCAATCAATTACGCCGCGCCAAGTGTCCCCGCTCTCCCTCCCTCCCTCCCTCCATCCCTCTGCTTTCATTTTCTGATTTTCTTTTCTTTATTTTCTTTCTTTCTTTTTTTCTTTTTCTAAAAGCAAAAAATAAAATAGAAAATGAAAAACATGGGCCTATTGGGAGAGAGGCTCCCATTCTCAACAAAAGGGGCATTGGTGAATCATTAGCTACTAAATATTCAATGAGCTTATCATAACTTACTTTTGCTTTGGCCTTATCTTACAGTGCTATGCTATTTAGACGGGAGCTGTTCTAACTTTAACTTAATCTGCTTTTCATCATTTCCTTTATTTTTGCCAATGAATGATTTTTATTTAAATTAAAAGAATGCTATATTTGTAGGGTAAGCCCCCTCTCCTTTTTCTCCTTTGTTTGATCATGTTACTTAGCTATTCTATCTACCAATTTAATGTATAACAAAACTTATGGTGCAGATGAACGTAAAATAATTATATATACAAAATCCAAATATTTAGGTATATATATATATAGTAATATTTTTTTAGTTACTTTTCTATTGAGAGGAGCGATAACATACTAAACTCACACACACTACACCGATGCTAGGACTCTAACATAGGAAGAAAAACAAAACATGTACTAACTTTGCAACGGATCAAACTTATAAAATGTATAGTTACATGCGTTAACTGTTTTGTTCGAGCATGTTTAAGGCCAAGTACATCTCCTAATTTTTCTTCTACCCTTTACAGGTGAAAAAGTTTCATTTTAATTAAAGAATTCCTACATTTTCCCCACGAAAAGGGTCCATAATCAATCCTTTTAGTCCCCATTTTCAAAGAATGAAAAAGAAACGGCAAGAAAAGAAAAGGAAGGAGGAAAAGAATTTTAAAAAGTTAAAAAAAATACCAAAAAAGAAAGAAGAAAAAAAAGTTTTTCTAGAACAACTTAGTTTTATATATAAGAGAAAAACACCCAAACCCTAGCTCAATCCATTCAAAATACTAGTTAATTTGGAAATAGATAGATAATATACTTAGTTAATTTTAATCCTACAATTAAACATGTTTTAGGCCCCTCATCATGAGGAAAGACGTGTGTATTCAAACATTATCTTCCGATTTGTCACTTGGTCCGAGTGTTTTTCGGAAA